CGAGCCCAGCCCAGCCGGCTTGGCCCCGAAGGCGCAAAAAGGCAGCCAGCCCCCCCCAAGAGCCGGGAAGGGGGCCAAAGAGCCCAGCCCGGGGGGGGGGCGCAGTGGGGCTTTCCCGGACGCCTTCTGCACTCAGGGCTGAGTTTCCAAAAGCAGAGCCATCCTATAATTTCCTGGTGAAAATGCTGCCCTGGGAGACCTTCCAGCCAATCCTTTCGTTGGGTCGCACGCTCATTCATTCATTCTTTCATTCATTCGTTGGTTCGTTCACTCATTCATGTATTCCTTCGTTCATGCATTCATTCATTCGTTGGTTCAGTCATTCATTTATTCCACTCCTGCGCTGGCCATCTGGCTACCGAGGCCACTCGAGGCGGTTCACAACACTGTGAAACAACACACGACATTTTAAAAAGAACTGAAGAGGCTAAGAGGATACATATGTAAGGCTATGATTTGTGGATTATATTTCTGCTTTTAACACCATTTTATCTAGTAGGTTGTTTATTAAAATGTTCAATTTGGGAATATAGTACATCAGAACATCTGTCTGTGGATAAAGGACTTTCTGACAGGCGGGCCACAGTCAGTAAGGGTGGGATATCATCATTCTTCTGCCTTGATACTAAATACAGGAGCTCGCCGGGGTTATGTGTTAAGCACCTTTCTCTCTTCTCTGTAGGGACATGACTCCACCCCATTGTATAACACAACACTATTATTAAATTTGTGGATGATACGATGACTCCACCCCATTGTATAACACCAACACTATTATTAAATTTGCGGATGATACAACAATGGTGGGGCTTATAAATAAGAACAATGAGTCTGTTTATAGAAAAGAAGTACTGTACAAGGGTTGACACTATGGTGTAAAGAAAATAGTCTTAACACCAAAAAAAACCTAAAGCACTTATAACTGACTTTAGGAGCAGGAGAGATGTATATTTACCACTGTACATAAATGGTGAAGAGGTGGAGAGGGTTAGGAGTTTTACATTTCGGGCTTATAAATAAGAACAATGAGTCTGTTTATAGAAAAGAAGTACTGTACAAGGGTTGACACTATGGTGTAAAGAAAATAGTCTTAACACCAAAAAAAACCTAAAGCACTTATAACTGACTTTAGGAGCAGGAGAGATGTATATTTACCACTGTACATAAATGGTGAAGAGGTGGAGAGGGTTAGGAGTTTTACATTTCGGGGTATCTACAGTGAAGAGGTGGAGAGGGTTAGTAGTTTTACATTTCGGAGTATCTACATTTCAGAGGACCTCTCGTGGTCCATAAATGCTGATATGCTGGTGAAGAAGGCACAGAGGATGCTGTACTTCCTGAGAGGGCTCAGGAAGATAAATCTTATCTCAGCATTGACTTCTGTCCTACTGCTGTAGCGGCACAGAGAGTGTCCTAACATAGGGTTATCCTCTCACCGTATGGGATTTGCTCTGAAACGGATGAAAAAGTTTTACAGAGAATTACTAAAATTGCCCAAAATATTATAGGACTTTCAGCTTCCAACCTTGGACAACATCTTTGCATCTCAATGTCTGAGGAAGTCATTAAATATTCTCAGAGACTCTTCCCACTCTCCTTATAACTTCTTGAACTGTTGCCTTCTGGTAGAAGATACAGAGCAATTAGAACTCAAGATGACACTGCTTTTTGAACAGTTTTTATCCTAGAGCTATAACTGCGCTTGACAAGGAACTTAAGAATCACCAGCAGTGAGTTCTTGGACTGTATTACAATTACATGGTCTGTTGTGTTGTATGTTGTTTGGATACTATGAGTCTTAGGCGGGGTTTTGGGATTTAGGGATTGTTACGAGGGTGTGTGGGTGTGTTTTGTCTGGTCTCTGAGTGTTCTTTGTGAATTTCATTGTATGTGTATACGGTGTATATACATTCAATGACAATAAATTCTTATTATTATAACTCTACGAAAAACCAAACTAGACCTATCAAGCGGGATACACAAAAACAACATGTTGTTGTTTAGTCGTTAAGTCATGTCCGACTCTACGTGACCCCATGGACCAGAGCACGCCAGGCCCTCCTGTCTTCCACTGCCTCCCGGAGTTGGGTCAAATTCATGTTGGTAGCTTTGACGACCCTGTCCAACCATCTCGTCTTCTGTCATCCGCTTCTCCTCCTCCCTTCACACTTTCCCAACATCAGGGTCTAAAACAACATAGAAATAACTAAAAAATAATTGAAAAGGCAAGGTGATGGAACAGATAATATAAGTGCTGAAAATCCTCCAAGCTATGGTGACGTGGACTCGGGGAAAGCCTGTAGAAACAGACAAGTTTTCAGAGATGGTTTGGAAATTCCCAGGGATGGGGCCAGGGGAACTTTCAGTGGGGGATTATTCCAGAGGTGGGGGGCAACCCCAGAGAAGGCCCCGTTTCTGGTCTTCTCTTTCTGGCCCTCTCTCAGGGTCAATGATTTCAACCGCCAGGCCTGGGGAGATTGGTTAGGTTGGGGCAGATCTCACTGGAAGAAGGCGTTTTGCCAGGTATTGAGGTCCCAAACCGTTTATGGCCTTATACGTCAGTATTCATCACCTTGGCATAAAGTCTCCTTGGCTGTAGCTGAATCACCCAAGTTGTCCCTTTTTTTCAGTGAAAAGACAAGAGGCGTGTGCCACTTTCCAGACTAACCTATTTTATTTGGGCGTGAAAGCTGAAGCTTGGTCTGATGCAGTGACCTTGTCCTCAAAAGCTCACATTTAAAAATGTATAAAAGTTTGCTTTTAAGGGGCTACCATGTTTTTGTCTTGTATTACTTTTTATTTCTGTTTTGCTTTTACCAAATAGGACATGTCAGTCTTCAAGGCGCCAAAGAATGCTGTGTCGGATTTGTGGCAAAAGACCAACAGGGCACCTCTCTAAGAAAATATTATTTGCACTCAGACTCCAAGATGTTGTCCTAAACTGGAGTTTGCCCTCCAGGAAACAACTGGTAGAAAGCGATACACGCACATGAGCATGTGTGTCCATTCACAGCTTACCTGTGACAATGTGCGCATAAGACATGCGACTTGTGAATTTCTTGGATATCCCACATTCCTTCTAACAAAATTCTTGGGACTTAGAATAGTAGAATCATGGAGTTGGAAGGGGGCCTCTAAGGCCATCTAGTCCAACCCCCTGCTCAAGGCAGGAATCCAGGAGTCAGAGCAGATCTGAGAAAAGGTGGTCCAATATTCTCTCAGATGCCTCCAGGGTTGAAAACTGCTCTGGCCTTCAGAGTTTCCAGAAATTTTGTGCACAGGAGCTTCTGATGATAGAAGCAAGATAATCAAGGAGCAGAGTGTTGAAACGTTTCTTGGAAACAGTAATTCAGGAAAAATATAAGCCTTCCAAGATCTGTAAATGTGAGTGTACCTCTGAGCACATACAGAAAGCAGTTCTATTCTTTTGTGCTGGACAACACTCTATCAACACTTTGGCCAAATCTTAAGCTTGTGCACTGGTGTGACACAATAATAAGTCTTAGTAAAGGGTTGTTGTAAGTTTTTTTGGCTGTTTGGCCATGTTCTGGAGGGTTTTTTTCCTAACGTTTTGCCAGTCTCTGTGGCCGGCATCTTCAGAGGACAGGAGTTAGAACTCTGTCTGTGTTCTGGTGTAGTGTGTGGGATAAGTTAAGTATGCGCGGGATAAGTATCCCACATACTACACCAGAACACAGACAGAGTTCTAACTCCTGTCCTCTGAAGATGCTGGCCACAGAGACAGGCAAAATGTTAGGAAGAAAAACCTCCAGAACACGACCAAATAGCCCGAAAAACCTACAACAACCATCGGATCCCGGCCGTGAAAGCCTTCGAGAATACAAGTCTTAGTAAATCTTACTGGCAACTTTCCGCTACTCAAGAACTTGGTGTAGGCATTTACAACACTTTGCAACACTATGTTTTTCATTTGTAACCACTGGCTGTCAGCGTGTTGAAGG